TTTTACTTTGTCGTACGGTTTATACTTTGCCGCACATCAGGATTCCAACGAAACAACGCAAAACAGCGTGGTTCTATTATGCACGTAATCCGTGTACGCTTGGAAATAGTTTGGCAACACTTAAAGATAATAATACTATGAGCAGCTGATTGACTATTATAACTACGATTTAACCTGTTATTTCGTGTTTATAGTTTCGGTATTTCTGGACTTTCTGGACTTTTCTTTTAAACGTTTTTAAAACATTCTTAATAAACAAGAACGATCTTAATAAACAAGAAAATACCTTTAAAGCATTTTTTTTAGTCGTGGAAACCACTTCAAATTACAAAAACATACGGAACTATATTCTCAAAACGCGGAGCACATTTCTTGCCGAGGAAAAATAGCGGAGTGATACGGACCGGGTACTACTTTCTCTAGGGCACCTTTTTGTGTTGCCAGCTGAACCTAAAAACGTGTTGTATAGTGCTTGAAAGACTAATTATTTATATGCTTTATAGTGACTGTAGGAAAAATATAATGTGTAACACGAGTGCAAAAGGCCTTTGCTGCACTCGAGATAGGCTCGTGCGTAAACATTGATCTCGTGTGCAGCAAAGTGCCACTTTGCCCACTAGTTACACAAATAACTATTTCGTATTGTTATGGTGAGGAACAAGGTTAATTAAAAGATAATAGATGTACCCGGTCCATCTGACCTACTATAGGGGTTTCAACAGATTGGAGATGATTTAGCTGAGTTGCAGTTCTAAATACAGTTAAACCAAAAAATATTAAATATAGTAGTCTATTGTGTTAGAGATTGTGAACTAAATTTTTTCAAGTCATATTTAACAGGCAGATCTCAGTTGGTAGATATTAGGGGAAATGTTTCTAAAGTTTCAGAGGTCAAGCATGGTGTACCGCAGCGGTCAATATTGGGGCCCATTTTATTTTTGATATTGATTAATGATGTTAGTTTTAATCTGGCTATTTTTCTACTGTATATGCAGATGATACATCATTGGTCTCTTATCATAATAACCTTGATGTACTAAGTAATATGGTCAAAGATAGTTTTGAAAGAGCTGTGTATTGGTTTACTGTCAATGGGCTTTTTATGAATGAAGAGAAAACTAAAAACATGCTTGTGTCTATGACTAATAACAGAACAAATCAAAACCTGGAAAGTAGTGTAACACTGTTTGGAATTTCTATTGATAGTAAATTGTCATGGAAGAATCATATTGAATTAGTTTGTAAAAAATTATCAAGAGTAATATGTTTATTGTGTAAGTTAAGAAAAATGTTACCTGATGTTTATTTAAAGATGGCTTATTATGTATTCTTTGAAAGTATATTGAGGTATGGTTTGGTTGTCTGGGGTAATGGCATTGGTATCGATGATGTCTTGATATTACAGAAAAAAGCAGTTAGACTTATAACTGGTTCATCTTTCCCGGCACATTGTAGGCCTTTGTTTGTGCAAACAGGGATTTTGACTGTGATCAATCTTTACATTTATGAAGTTATAAGGCTAGTGAGAAAAGATATCGATAAATATATGTCTAGGGCTGATGTTCATGATCACTTTACTAGGTTTAGGAATAAAATTGACATATCTAGATGTAGATTGACAAGAACACAAAAGTATCATCACACTCTGGGTTTAAAGCTTTACAATAAACTGCCAAACTACGTTGTAGATATTACTAGTGATAAGGTATTCTTTGAAATTCTGTATAAATGGCTCCTAGAAAACCCAATGTACCAGATTGATGAGTTTTTAAATTCTGAAATAGTTATTTGAATATGCTGTCATCCTACATAGCTTTAAATAGAAAACAGTATTTAGCTTTAAAGCCTGACACTTGTTTAGACTAATTTGACGAGATCTTTTGTAAACAATGTATTTACTTAATGGTCAATAAATTTCTTATTCTTATTCTTATTCTTATAAATTAAAATATGCATATAACAATTGAAATATAAATTTTCATAATTACCTCTTCTATCAATTTCCTTCGAGGCTATTTCCCCTGGTAAAGTGCTTTATTGTTAAATTATTTCTCCTCTGTGATGCCGGCCGGCTCTTCTTTCCATGGACATTCGACGCCAACACACTACTCGAACAATAACCAAGGGTGAGCACTAGATATTAATAGCCTCTCCTTCATTAATTATTCATTTAAACCATCCATTTGTATAAGCCCTCTGTGTCCTCCTTTCAAATAATTTAATTTGTTGATTCGTTAAATTCGTGTTAGTGTTATAGTTTTATTTTGTATTTAATTCTCTTTCGGTCCTTCGAGTTTTTTATTGTATTAATTAATTTTTAATTCACAAACTCCGAATTTAACATTTATTTTGCCTTATAATTGTTTGGCTTGTGGATGTAACCAAATTAATTATACATAATAACTTCAAATAGCTTATTAATTTGTTGGCATACAAAACGATGACTTACCCTCCTTGATGCATCGTAAAATATTTTGTTTTGTTTGGTTCTGTGTGTTACCAAATAGCGTAAAAATATGTTTTAAAACGCTATATTTTCAGAAATTTTCCCGGGGAAGGCCCAGACCCCCAGATGTTCGTTAGACCTATATATTGCACCCCCCTGTTCCAAATCCTGCGGGCGCTCATGCTGTAAAGTATATTCACTTCATTCAATGTAAATCTTAAATGAAAATATTGTCAACCTGTCAGCGTTTAAGTTTGCAAATTGCAAATTATCAACAAGAAATCTCCATGATTCAATGATACTGATGCCATTTAAATCGTTCAATCACTGACCTTTAGAAATAGCCGACCCTTTATGGGAGTAGGATTAAAATTAAAGTTATGTCTCTAGGGTGGTTTGTAATCATACTGATAACATTATAGATTATGTATTATAATTTTACTACTACTTTTGTACTCTATATTTTTTTAATATAGACGTATTTTATACGAAAACCATAAAAGTTGATTGTAAGTTTTACTGTGGGCACTGTTTTGTTCCATCATATATTGTTCAATGCAATAATAAATCTTGTATAGATTTATTGTTATATTATATTTTCTTGCTTTAGGACGATTATATATAGTGTTTCAAAAAGGTCACAGTAGCCAATTCATTGTCATTGTCCATGCTTAAAAAAATAACTATACGTACAACTACATAGATTATTATAGATAGTATAGGCCTACATTGGTCGAGTTTTAGAAACACTTAAAACAAAGCTTTCTTTGTAAGTACATTTTTACAAAATCATTAGAATTGAAAAGGGGGTTTCACTGTTTTTATTTGCAAATATGTGTAGCTTAGTAATTGATATTTTTTCACGTAATAATTAAATGAATCTGTCTCAATAAATTAAACTACTGAACGACAATGATTTGATGTGGTAAATTGTTGTCCATAATCACAAAACAATGATTGTCTTTGATTCCTAAAATCAATATTTAATTTATGTTTTAAAACTAACCTTTTTTCAATTTCTGTGCCATTAAAACAAAACAAAAAATGTAAAATTAAAAGGTTTTTTATTTTGTTAAAACTTACTCGTACAAACAAAACAATAACACTTTTGACCAAACCTTGTTTTAGGGATTGATTAGTTTTTATTTTGTTATATTATTCAGAACAAAGCAATTTATCTAACGTTCGTTCGGCAGATATTTGATTGCATATTGTTATTGATATGAGACTTTAACTCACAATAGTTAAGTACATAACTTTTTTGGCATCTTTTCAAACCCATTTAATCGTGCGAAAATAAAATATCCCCGCCGTAGTAAACATGCAGACTATAATTTACTTTTGCCTGATATTATTCTCACTTAAATCTATTTCAATAACATTAGGTGTAACAAGTAGCCTACCTAGGTTCGCTGCTACAGGGAGCGTAATAAAGTGTGTTTCTAGTAAAATACTAATAGCTTAGTATAAAGTAAATAAATTTGCCAATTTGATCAAAATATATCCATAAACAAGCAAACTATCACAGTTTACTTATTCTCCACAAGAATAACATGGGAGAAAATCATGAATAACATTTTTCTACAATTGCTCCGTTAACTAGACATCCACCATTTTGTATTTTTCGCATACACATTTAGATATATGGATTGTTACAACCGATTTTTATGAAACTTAGTGTATACGTTAAGGTAAAAGAGACCCATTTTAGAGAAAAAGTTATCTTGATCCAATTAAACATTTAAGAAAGGCGGCCATTTTAGTTTTTATTTTTTTTTTATTACAAAAAAGACTGATTTTATGGAAAAAATATCGAGGCCGCATTTATTTAGCATTTCCAATTTTTTTTTTCAAATGACACCAAGTTTAAAAAAATCTAATAAAAATAACTGAAATATTGCGATTTTTAGTTATAAAATGAGGTAAAATAGGGTTAATCTAGTCAGGTTTGCCTCATTTTACAGCCAAAAATCGAGATATTTCATTAATTTGGTATTATATTAAGTATGATCGGAATATGTGAATGGGGCTGCAGGTTTGTTGTGGTGGGGATGTTTAATTGTTTGTTCCAAGGTTGCTGTTGCTTGGATTTAAAGCTATAATTTTATAATGTAACACTTTCGTCAGTGACTTTCTGTTTTCTTAAACTTCCCTCTTGGTAGAAATTACGCGTGCAGTAGACCCTAGCACCTTAGAAGTCTTGTATCTATTTTACCCTCTAACCTCTCAAATATAGACAAGCAAGTGTAACATTACTTCAAGGGGAGCATGGGACTCGCAATATACAGAAAGGATATAATTAGAGTGATAAGGCTATAACAGCCCCAGATGGATCGTCTTAATCACATCACGTTGGTTGGGAAAACAATGGAAGAACTCGACAAAATCCCGCTCCATATGACTCACCTGAAAACACTTTATACTTATGTGAAATAAAGACAGGGACTGCTATTAATAGCAATGCCATAAATTAGCAACTGCTAATAATAAGCACATTCAATTAGTTAAACACAGTTTAATGCCATAGGTTTTCACAGTAAAAGACACTATTCAATTCATCTGCTTGATTTTACGCATGTGACCGATGTATCATTCACTTACGACTCTTTTCTTTTGCCGGTGCGTTAGCAACTGCATTCCATGCCGCCCGGAAAAAAAGTGCTTTATACAGTTTGCCACCAATGTAGGCCAACGTCGTCAACGCCGCTGTCGTTACCACGAGTGGAAGAGGTGATTCGGGATTTTTCCCTTCAACGACTCTCCCGTAAGCAGCTACCTCTGCCGTCTTTTCTTCTGAAAACACAATACAAAATGATTATTTGATGTCATCAATATCCCTTCCACTGATAAATTCGATCGCTACCTATATGGTTTTACAAATTCCACATAAGTTAAGCTCTCAAATCTTGTCTTTGATGTTTAACGGCAATAAACGATTCTGATTATGGTTCTTTCCTCCCGAATCCTATATTAATGAATGAATTTAAATTAATTTATTTCCATTGAGTAATAACTTAATATAGACATTGACAATGTTTGGAAATTGATTGGCCGCTTATCAAGTCGTATTAAAGCATTTATATATGGTTTAGACAGTTAAATAATGTGACAACAATGTTAAATAATGTTTATTTTCGGGCCAAAAACATAATTTGTTTATGTTTATGATCCATAGCGGTTCTGTTCAAGTATTCGTGCTTTCTCCCCATTTACATAGTATATGGAGTAAATTTTCGATTTTTAGTCTTAGTTGTAAATTTACGTTTTTGGTAGCCCTGAAAAAAAAAAAAAAAAAAATGTTTTCGAAATGATGTAAGTGTGTGTGAGAGAGTCACAGTGGGAGATATTTCTTCTCTCCTATTCTGCGAGTATTTACATATTTCTATATTATTAGCTTCATTGTACTTTCACTGATGGTTTTGAGTGTTTTTTGTCTAGAATCGTGTGAGAATCAGGGAAAATTGTCTTTCGAGTTGGGTTTTGCTTCAGGTGTTTGGCTACCATTGATGTTAATCACCGTAAAGGCCTGACGATCCTGTGCTATTGTTACAGTCGTGTTGATGAAGATTCCTAATAGGTGAATCATTCGCTCAAAACATTTTGTAAAGTGCAGTTACCCTACGTCTACAATACTTTAGTTACTTACCAATTGATTGATAGGGAGTACTGGTCTCGCCATTCTTGAGTGGAAGGTCATTTGATTCACTTTTGGCTTCGTAGAAACCCTGAAAAATTACAAAGTCTCCAGTATACCAAATGTTAGAGTAATGGACTGTACAACTTTAATCATTGCATATTTACTCTATACCCTGTCTCTAATAAAGGTGCATAACGAATTTGGCATTATTGAGCGTAGCTCTTTGGGATCAACTTCAATGCAACAAATAAAAAAACGTCACTCAATAACGGCTGAACGCGTTTCAGCAAAACTTAACAAAATTACTTATAATCCAAGCAAAGTAAGAAAACTGACACAGGGATTATTAAAAAAATTGCAAGAAAACGTTTTATGGTTTTACTTTGTAGTGTTGGGTTTGCAGAATGACATACTAAAAGTTGCCAAAAATCGGTGCACGAGAAAACCACTAAGATCACAATTTCAAATGGCGGCTTTTCCAAACATTGGAAAGATTTTGAAAAAAGATAGCACATTCATTTTGTATGAGAACTTTTTGAGAAACTGACTTGGGACCACTACCAAAATTTATTGGGTCGTTAGTACTTCATTTTGATAGGGAACGCGTTTTTGGCCGCCATCTTGGATCCGCCATATTGGACATAGATATCCTATACTCTAATACGAGCAAAGTTTGCCTGTATGTATGCTTGCAGAAAGATCTAAAAAACGGCTCCGACGATTTTATTCAAATCTTTTATATATATTTTTTTGGCCTAAAAACGAGTTTCTTGCAGTTAGAACTGCCAACAAAAATCTAATTACGTAGAAAAACGAAACTGAAAGTCACATTTTTTTAACATTAGTCTTATGGGTTGCTAAGTAACAATGTTGGTTGAATTAAATAACATGGAAAAAGTAAACAAAAGACTTGAAGTTGTAGCATGTATTCATAATAAGCCAACTACCCACAGTATACTAGCAAATTACAAATACAGTACAAAAGTGAAAGCATCACTTGATACTATTGAGCAAAGATTATACTGAAGATTGCTCGATATCTTGTAGGCCTAGTAATATAAAGGCAAGCAGTACGAAGTGTGGGATCTGTTTATGACGATTAGATTAAGGTTTTCTGCAATCCTAAAATGCTATAGGAAGGGAAGGAAACAGGTCTGCGACGTAGGAACTGGTGAAGGAAGTAGTAAAGGAAAGTTGTCCGGGGTGTTGTATCTGTTTATGACAATTAGATTAAGGTATTTGTAATCATAAAATGCTATGGGAAGGGAGGGAAACAGGTCCGTGACGTAGGAAGTGATGAAGGAAGTAGTAAAGGTGAGCAGTCCGGAGTGTAGGAACTGTTTATAACGATAAGATTAGGGTATCTGCAATCCTAAAATGCTATGGGAAGGGAGGAAAACAGGTTTGCGACGTAGGAAGTGATTAAGGAAGTAGTCAAGGCGAGATGTCTGGAGTGTGGGAACTGTTTATGGCGATTAGATTATGGTATTTGAAATCCTAAAATGCTATGGGAAGGGAGGAAAACAGGTCCGCGACGTAGGAAGGGGTGAAGGAAGTAGTCAAGGCGAGTGGTCCGGAGTGTGGGAACTGTTTATGACGATTAGATCAAGGTATCTGCAATCCTAAAATCAAAATGGTATGGGAAGGGAGGAAAACGGGTCTGCGACGTAGGAAGTGGTGAAGGAAGTAGTGAAGGCGAGCTGTTCGGAGTGTGGGAATAGTTTATGACGATTAGATTAAGGTATCTGCAATCTTTAAATGCAATGGGAAGGGAGGGAAACAGGTCCGTGACGTAGGAAGTGATGAAGGAAGTAGTAAAGGCGAGTAGTCTGGAGTGTGAAAACGGTTTATGACGATTAGATTAAGGTATTTAAAATCCTAAAATGCTATGGGAAGGGAGGAAAACAGGTCCGCGAAGTAGGAAGTGATGAAGGAAGTAGTCAAGGCGAGTTGTCCGGATTGTAAGAACTGTTTATGACGATTAGATTAAGGTATATGCAATCCTAAAATGCTATGGGGAGGGAAGAAAACAGGTTCGCGACGTAGGAAGTGGTGAAGGAAGTAGCCAAGGCGATCTGGCCGGAGTGTGGGAACTGTTTATGACTATTAGATTAAGGTATTTCCAATCCTAAAATGCTATGGGAAGGGAGGGAAACAGGTCCGTGACGTAGGAAGGAAGTGGTGAAGGAATTAGTCAAGCCAAGCTGTCCGGAGTGTGGGAACTGTTTATGACGATTAGATTAAGGTATCTGCAATCTTTACATGCATTGGGAAGGAAGGAAAACAGCTCCGCTTCGTAGGAAGTGGTGAAGGAAGTAGTGAAGGCGAGCTGTTCGGAGTGTGGGAATAGTTTATGACGATTAGATTAAGGTATCTGGAATCCTAAAATGCTATGGGAAGGGAAGAAAACAGGTTAGCAACGTAGGAAGTGGTGAAGGAAGTAGTAAAGGCGAGTAGTCCGGAGTATGGGAACTGTTTATGACGATTAGATTAAGGTATCTGCAATTCTTAAATGCTATGGGAAGGGAGGAAAACAGGTCCACGACGTAGGAAGTGGTGAAGGAAGTAGTCAAGCCGAACTGTCCGGAGTGTGGGAGCTGTTTATGACGATTAGATTAAGGTATCTGCAATCTTTAAATGCAATGGGAAGGGAGGGAAACAGGTCCGTGACGTAGGAAGTGATGAAGGAAGTAGTAAAGGCGAGTAGTCTGGAGTGTGAAAACGGTTTATGACGATTAGATTAAGGTATTTAAAATCCTAAAATGCTATGGGAAGGGAGGAAAACAGGTCTGCGAAGTAGGAAGTGATGAAGAAAGTAGTCAAGGCGAGTTGTCCGGATTGTAAGAACTGTTTATGACGATTAGATTAAGGTATATGCAATCCTAAAATGCTATGGGGAGGGAAGAAAACAGGTTCGCGACGTAGGAAGTGGTGAAGGAAGTAGCCAAGGCGATCTGGCCGGAGTGTGGGAACTGTTTATGACTATTAGATTAAGGTATTTCCAATCCTAAAATGCTATGGGAAGGGAGGGAAACAGGTCCGTGACGTAGGAAGTGGTGAAGGAATTAGTCAAGCCAAGCTGTCCGGAGTGTGGGAACTGTTTATGACGATTAGATTAAGGTATCTGCAATCTTTACATGCATTGGGAAGGAAGGAAAACAGCTCCGCTTCGTAGGAAGTGGTGAAGGAAGTAGTAAGGCTAGCAGTGCAGAGTGTGGGAACTGTCTGTAAAAATTACACAATCCTAACATGCAATGGGAAGGGAGAGAAACGGGTCCACGACGTAGGGAGTGCTGAAGGAATAAGTAAAGGCGAGCAGTGTGGAGTTTGGGAATAGATTTATGTATCTGCAATACTGCATAGACTGCTTTCAGAGTAAACTAATGATTTCCCCCGAGCAAAGTTCGGTCCCCAGGTACTATTTTTTTAAACGTAATGATAGTGTTGTGACACCTTATTTCAAACTACATTTTTACACTGATTTCAATGCCGAAATCCGTTTATATCTTTTTTTGTTTAGAAGATATGTTTGAACAAAAACTCTCCCCCATACATTTCTTATGGACGTTTCGTAGTTTGATATTTTTTTAAATATTATTTTTCTTATATCTCCAGTTCTTATTAACGGTTGCAGTTCGTTCTAGTCTTAAAATAGTCAGTAATGTAAGGGCTTCCATTTGAGCTCTAGATCATTAAAATCAGACATTAAATCAGAGTTAAAGACCAGCTACGAACCTCAGAACAATATCAATTTTAACTGTTTAGAAATATATTTTTATTAAAAGATTTATAACTCGGGTTGTTAATACGTCACCAACTTCTTTCTGGTCTCAAATTACTCAGTAAATGTTTGGCTTTGATTTTATTCATCACTAAATTAAATCTGAAAAATTTAAAATGAGTCATACATCTTCATTTGACAGTAAATTATTTAACTTTAGAAATTTGTCTTTAGTTAAGGGCGTATATCCCCAATTCTAAATCACTCCCAAAACTCTTTAGTCTTAAATAATTAGTTAACATTATTGAATTTTATTTTAGCTATGGATTACTTATTGGGAGTTATTAGGGTTTGGGATATATGTCCTTAACCAAAGACAAATTTCTAAAAAGAAATAATATACTGTTAAATGAAGATTCATGACTCATTTAAAATTTTTCAGATGGCATTGAAATCAGTGTAAAAATGTAGTTTGAAATGATGTGTCACAACACTATCATTACATTTAAAAAAATATATCTATGTCCAATATGGCGGTTCTCTGGCATGTATGCACATCTATGGCATGAGCGTGAATGTGCTTAAATGCATAATTGAAGTTATCGCTTATCCTCTTAGCATTGTACTAAATAGGTGCCTGCAGGAGGGCTGTTTTCCTTATGCCCTAAAGCTATCCAGGACAGTTCCCGTATTCAAGAAAGGGGACCCCGAATCAATGAAGAGTTACCGACCAATATCTATTGACCCAGTTCTGGCAAAGGTGTTCGAGGCAACCATGAAAATTCAACTTTTGAGCTACTTTGAAAGTAACGGGCTTTTTGTAAACGCCCAACGTGGTTTTAGGTGTGGCAAATCTACTGCCACGGCTGTTGCCCAGCTTGTAACTGAGGTCCTAAACGCGTTCGAGGCTGATGAATCTCTGGCTCTGGCTCTCGCGGACCTAACCAAAGCTTTCGACTGCGTCCCTCATGCCCTGCTTGTCGAAAAACTGAAAGCTTACGGAGTCTGTGGTGAGGTGCTTTCCACCTTCGCATCCTACCTGGCAGGTAGGAAACAAATCCTCACCCTGAATGGAGTCAACTCTTCCCCCCAACCCGTCAACCATGGAGTGCCCCAAGGTTCGGTCATTGGACCGGTTCTCTTCTTGGTCTTTATTAACGACCTAGGTGTGCAGGGAGACATACTTCTATTCGCAGACGATACCACCTTTTCTGCAAGAGGCAAAACACCTGACTTGGCCCAGGAATCGGTAGCAGGAAAATGTGTTGTGGCCAAACAGTGGTTCCTCGACAATAAGCTGAGCTTAAACGAAGATAAGACACAAGAAATTGTATGTAGCCTCAGTTTAAGCCAATCATCAACTTCTCCGGAAGTTAAGTTACTGGGTTTTACCCTGGATGCTAAATTAAGCTGGAACAGTCACACGGCTAACATCTGCCTAAAATTAGCAAAAGTAACACGTCTCCTCAGGTGCCTAAAGCCTCTACTATCTAAGGAGCACCTATTAATGATATATTATGCACTGTTTCACAGTCATGTTATGTATGGGCTTTAGCTGTGGGGACACGCATCGGGATGCAATAATATCCTACTCGAGCAGAAAAAAGCCTTGAGAATCATAGACTCGGCTGGTTTTCTCGACCACTGCAAACCTATATTTGCAAAACTCGAAGTCTACACCGTGTTTAGCCAATACATTCTGCTTAGCCTGCTTTATGTAAGGGAAAACCTAACTTTACTAACTATGAGAGGGGACCTGCACCCATATAACACCCGAGGGAGGGAAAAGATTGATATCCCTTTTTGTAGACTGAGTAGAAAGAAGGAATGCTTCCCAGTCCTGGCAATAAAACTTTTCAACACGCTCCCAACTAGTGTGAGAAATCTGGAGGTCGGGAAGTTCAAGACTCGGGTAGAGCGATGGTTGAGGAAAAATCCTTTCTACTCCATTGAGGAGTATTATAAAGCAGATACCCAAAATATATAAGGCCTAGCTCGGTAAAGATCTGCCGCCAAACACACAACCCAAAATATGTAAATAGTGTACAGTTTTTAAATAATTTATATTTGTTGTACAGTCCAAAATATTAGTTTTAAAAAGTATTACTGACGCCATCTATCTAGTGTCACTGGTCAAAGATGAAGGAAAGAAGTATGAAGTAAGTAAGTAAGTATGATCCAAGATGGCGGCCAAAAACGTGTTCCCTATCAAAATGAAGTATGTACTAACGACCCAACAAATATCGGCGGTGGTCCCAAGTCAGTTTCTCAAAAAGTGTACATACAAAATGCATATGGTATCTTTTTTCAAAAAATTTCCAATGTTGGGCAAAGCCGCCATTTTAAATTGTGATTTTAGTGGTTTTCTCGTGCATAGATTGTTGGCAACTTTTAGTATGTCATTCTGCAAATCCAACTCTACAAAATAAAACCGTAAAACGTTTTCTTGCAATTTTTTTAAGGTCATATCTTATATTTCTAATGGTGAGATGGTTTTTAAACAAATTTCAATTAGATAATGCTAATGCAAATTAAAACGAACTTAAAATTTCCAATTTTTAACATTAGGCTTACGTGACTAAAGTAGCCATGAAAGTTTTTTGTTTACAAGAAAAATGTAAACAAGAAAATAATAAGGTATTTCTGAACTTCCTAGACTTTTCTTTTAAACCATTCCTATGATTTTAATAAACAAGAAAATGCCTTTAAAACATTTTTTTAAGGCGCGGATTTCAGTGAAAATTGAGAAAATATACGGAACTACGTTCTCAATGCGCGGAGCATAAACAAGGAGCGGAGTGATACGGACCGGTGACTACTTTCTTGGGAACCTATTTGTGTTGCCAGATGATTAGAAACAGCCAATGTTAGAAATCAGGATTTAATAAGCGATATATCGAACCGCATCGAAATCGATATTTTATCCGATAATACCTCACAGGTTATAATTATGTTGAATTACATTGACGGTACAGTAAGTTATTACACGTATTAATAAAACGCAAATTGAACACTGATCTAATTTAGGCATGTGGGGAAGGTAGGTCGGGGTTTATGAGTATTCGTGACTACATTAAGTGTTTTGAAGTAAGGTTGGATTAGGAAGGTAAAGTGTAGGTTATAGGTAGGTGATCGGGTTGTTTATTTGTGTTGCACCATATAATTTTTATCTTTTGGAATAGTTGGTTAAACGGGGAAACGGTTAAAAAAATGCTTGCATATGGTCTTAACAAAACAATCTACAGTATTCTAGCATTGACTTTATATATAGTCAATGATTCTAGTAAACTACTACCGGTACATAAAAACCTAAAGAAAAGAACATTTGGATTTGGACCTTTGACCATAGTAAAACTAACATATAATTTATGAAATGTGAAAAGTTGTATATCATTAAATACTATTCTGTAATATTAATAATTGTTTGGCAAATCCTAATTTTAGTGGTTTGGCTGAAATGGAATCTGCATTTTGTGGAACAGTAATTTGGTAACAATTCAGTAATTTCAAATGTTGATAACAGTAGCCTAATCCCATATAAATACTGTTATTTGATTGCCAAGCCACGGACTAAACATACGTCCAGTTAGAACCGTAATAATAAGTAAATAATTAATTACCTGGGCTTATAGAAGTACACTTTTAACCACGGTATGGATAATTGACTAGGCCCGTCCAGAAGTAGGCTACTAATTTCTAATTATATTTTCTACATTGTATATTTAAGGCATGTCTGTCTTCCCTATTTATTATTATTATGTTTTCACAAATCAGCTGAATGCGATGTTTACTTATTACTTATGTTTAGGCCTACATTACAGCCATCTTATTTTATTGTTCAATAAATTATAGTCTTTTTGCAGTTTTTACGTTTTTACACATTGAAATACATGATTGATAATTCAGTTCATTTTAGTCTTTTAAAGGGGTTTTACATTTGAGTCTTACATTAAAATAGCCCTACATTATTCGTAGGCCTATGTTTTATCTTTGACTATCAATACAACTAGACATTCCACCCCCATGTTAAATTTGTAGCCAGCTTTATCATCAAAATATTCTGTATCCAATGGCCAATGGTTTTATTAAGGCCAGTATTAAAATGCCGTCCCTAAATCGTCCTAATGGTAGAAGACCTACATTCCAGTTACATTACAATCATATCCTCCATCAAGAATACTTGGTATTAGCAATCATAAATTATTTCCAGCAAAGAAAGCTGAGTTTAACCGATTGCAAGGGTTGAAATGAAGACCAATGTTTATGTTGCACAGTTTAATTTAAATGTCAAATTTACCCTCCTGCTGTTATACTTTAATACTCGTTTTTTTAATAGTTACTGTTTTTTTTATATTTAAATACTTTAACCATAGATTAAACATACTCCCTTGTTTAATCTAAGCTTTAACCGATTGTAAGGGTGAAAAATGAAGTCCAATGTTTTTGTTGTAGGCTACAGTTGAATTTGAATGTTAAATTTCCTTTCTCTTTTTTATACTTTAATGCCCTTTTTGGATGTTAATATCAGATTCCTACTACTGTAATATTTTCCTGGTCAAAACTACCATAATGCACCATAATGTGGTTTAGTGACCTTAAAAAGGATCCTGACGAAAGAAGCTAACACAAGGTCGGACAAAAAACAACCAAAATAAAACAAAATACACGAAGGGTGGAAGACCAGAATGAATAAATCTACTAGAGAACCTTAAAGTATATAGAGTTTTGAGTTTGACCTTGATGATGAGTTAAACTAGCTTGTTTTAATAACTTTACACACTGCAAAAAAGAAGAAAAATGAAATCCAAAATAAAATAATTTTGCTTTTATAACATTAAAGTTACTCTAGTCAAAACTAACTGTATGAATGATAAAATAAATAATTATGCTATCCAATAATTCACCCAGTACAACTGTATCGATTATACATTTGGGTATTAATCAATAATTAAGGGGTTTGAGAAGAAACTGATGATTTTAAAACATAAAGAACCAAGAAAACTATCTATGTTACAGATAGAGATAAATAAGGTTAATGTCAAATTTAAGTTCAAAAAATGAAATTTATTCTAAGCTATTTCATTAACTTTAAAGGTTTTCCTTTTTTCACTTTAATCTACTAAAACCAATTTTTTTTCGTAATCTAACTACAGTGAAATTAAATCTATGGCTGTAATATTTACCAAGATCAAAATGAAAGAAGTAACTAGAACCAAGCGAATCATTTCTGGTTGGTGGATCCAAGACTAGTGCAGATGTAACTGTTTAAAAGTTAGGTTGAACGTTAGTACCAATTTGCACACACACACTAGTAATTTTCCTATTGGTTGTTAGAGGTAATCAATCACACTAATCATGTGTGCAAGCTCCCAGCTGCATTTGACAGTAGATTTCTGTGGACTACAGATAAAACTTTCCCTTATCTGCTCTACAACCTCATTGCTCACTGATGGCCTTCCAGTTGAATGCAGCCGTTTCTCTTAAAACTCAAGTACCACTTGCGAATAGAGTGATTGCTAGGAGGAGCTTCATTCAATCTTGCTCTATAGTGTCGTTGAACACTAATGACCCTCTGGTTAATGTGATAATCCAACACACAAAATGCTTTCCCGTCTTCAAATTCAGCAATTACACAACACTGACAACAATCGACTTCATAAACAGCTGATTTACACCCAAACCAATGTAAATAAAATTGTATGAGTTTTTCTTTCCAATCGCACCAACAGAAATAGTCTTAGACTAAATTAATCCAGTAATATTTACAATCCAAATCAGGAACATCATTTGTAATAACCCTGTACATTTTATCACTAGTTTGAAAAGACAATTTTTGCCTGAGTGATGAACTATATTTTTCATCATATTGCATAATTAAGAAACAAAATAAGCCAGAAAAAAAACTTACTAATACTTTATACTTTTATCTGAAATGGCAACCATATAAAATGTAAGGTAGGCATTTTAAGCCAAGTAAGAATGGAGATGAGTGTAGGATGAGTGGCGCGATCTTGTAGTCTTGTTACTGACTAAGGTTGTCATGTTCCTTAGACTGGACTGTTTATTAATAATTAATAGCCATACAGTCAATTGCAACTAAGGGACCTACAGTTTATAGTGGGATCCGAACAGTATTTTGCCTTGAATCTTAAGAATTGGTCCAATTATCAAGATAGTACTGCGGATAGTCGTAGTACTATTGACTATTGTGGACGTGAATCCACACCAGGGATTATCACATTCACAGTGCATGCCTATAAATATCCACAATTTTGTGACCTCCAAGTAGCTGGATTGCAGGACGACGCCACCCGTCCCAGTCGTAAAGATAAAAGTTATTATAAACGACTTCCAACGTGTTTTCAATTCTGCTAATTTAAATAAGCAGCTGATTCAATCATTTCGTTTATTAAGATTGTGTTACTGTACATTAGACCATCAATACATCGAGCTATTGACAAGAATGCAGAATAAGCAGACACCTTACTTAATAAACCAATCGATAAATAATTTATATTCATGCGATTTGTTACAATCAAAATTTACTTCTGTTTACAACACTGAGTTTCACTCCCTAAGCAGCTAATTCATTAAAGACGGCTGTTTTTGCTGAAGTATGACGAAAACATCTGTATACAGGGTGATCAACTCAAGGAGGCCACCATTGGGATATCGGAAACGGTAAGAATTAGAGTAATAGTCTAAGACCAGTAGTATAAAACTAGGCCTGACCTGGGCAAAATTAATAACAAAGCAAAACCAACTGGAATGTGTTAGGCATGCATCCCATAACATTTTATAAAAATTCACAACTTTTCCCACTGTAGCAAAATCCGCCATCTTGGAAAATGGTGGACAATCTATAAAACACTGCAAGGTTCCACTTAAAAACTTATTGTTCCCAAACCATTCCATCTAGATAAGTCTAATTAGTCTTAGATTCTTCGCCATAATGTTATCTACAAGAAAATACCATATTATATAATAGTAATATGATTTTAATAGTGAAAAAACAAATTAAGTTAGAAAATATGTTAAAAAATTTAGACATGTTTTCACTTTTTTGGGTGTTTCGCCATTATTATTGAGGAAATGCAGATTTTACCTCTTAGCAAACATGTAGGGCTTTATATTCCGCTTCATTTCCATATAATAAAACAATGTTTTAGCAATATTGACTTAAACGGCGAGTGTCAAAGTACACTCTCATGTAACGCACCTGTGGGACCAAAATGTATAGCAAATTAAGTATTTTCTGTTATTGCTAAGCAATGTCTTCAAATTATTTATACTTACAAGAATAGGTTCAAATTATGTCTCTTTACGTTTTCCGAGAATAATAAAATTTTTCCACTTTTACAAAGTCCACTACCCTGACACAAGTTGCTAAAAACCAAACCATTCGATTTGTCGAATATAGTCTAGCTACCAGCACCTTATGTACTTTACTTAAATATCAAGTAAGAGTGTTGCGTTGAAAACAGGTTCAGAAGCCTGATGAAATAAAGAAAGCCAACATGATTATTCCAGAAATATTTATTTACAATTCTAAACCCAACACAATCTTTAACTCATAAAAACTAACAATTTCAATTCACCAAAATACTTAGTCCTAGAGCTAATGTGCACCCTATTATCCTAATTTCAAACTTTACCCCAATCAATTACGTTACTTAACCCCCCCCCCCTTTATGATTTTTTTTTATCAAATACAATCTGGTCAGACGAAACAGTTTAATTATTGCTCCTGAAAGAATCTATCAAATGCACTGGTTCCAAAGTTCATCAAATTAAAGTTGGTACTCATCACTAGTCCCTGGTGAGATTTTGGTCCAATTCGCCGATTCCTGTAGGGACGACTGGCTGGGGATGGCGTCCATCGATCCAGGCTGTGTGGCCCAGAGATGGTAGGACCCTCGTCTGAAGGTTGCCACGACCAGGTGACCAGGAAGGATTGAACCTTCAATGCTGAGGCCGAATTGACTACCAAGCCCGTACTCCTCCCCTCCTGTAGATGTAGAAATGTACAGGAGTTTTTTTGGTGAGTTGGTGGCTCAGTTGGTAGCGTCACGGACTTTGGGCCAAGGCAGAGGTGTCGTGGGTTCGGATCCTGGTCACTGCCACAATCTTTTATCAGTACAGTTCACCTTTGTACTGTACCGGCTCACCCCTTGCTTTGCTGGATACGTTCCACGCACAGATCTGTAGTCTGTGGACGGGCAAATGCAAGGTTAAAAGAGGCCGCCAACCTCTTTAAAAAAAAAAAATAGGCACCACCCACGGATGTGGCCGTTAGTTGTTCTCCACCAAGATTTGAACCCTATGACAATTCCAGCCTACTTACTCCAGTGCAATTACAAATACGTTTTCTTTAACCCCTCTCCCCTTCTGTTATCTTCACGGTAAGGGTTTTAACAGATTCTACCACATATTTTATTCACCTATAAACTCCCCTCAAATTATTGTACTAAATTCCCTGGGCAGGATTTTTGGGTACACAATGATCACCATTATATAAAATATTACATTTTTATATATATATAAAAAAAAAAAAAACAGAACCTATCCTTACAATAACCAAACAATATACAATTAGATTGCTCATTTTACCTAGATACATTAGTTTATTTAATCAATACTTATAAAATTCAGATATCTTGATTTTCTTTTAAATTAAATTTTTCTTTCCACATGGTAACTCACTGACTGTAAATACCTTTTATGTCAAAAAAATTATTTCTGTTAAACTATTTAGTTACGTTTTATTGCAGCCAAATATCCGTAATATTCATTTAAGTACACAACAAGTTCGTCCATTCAAATCTTTTTACATTGAAATTTCACATTATTAATACACTGAAACAAGTGAATAGGCATTTTAACATTAATACAGAGGATTAAACTTCAGACTTCCATCACTTTCCTTCCCTTTGACATGTTTTTAAAATGAACAATGTGCTAATTAACCTGATATTTCACGTTTGCCACCATGTGGTCCTAACCTCTTAATTTAATTTGTGCAACTTCAAATACAAATTCGCTAATAAAACTGAAATAAAACATTTTCTTACATATGACTTTAAGATGTATCTCTTCCTGGAATGATGGTATTATGAAGACTAAATAGAAATAAATCCTTACCTCTAAAACGAGGGTGACATGTAATTCATCTGCTCCCGACACAAGTCTGGACATCGACAAAATGAGACTGAACCTGTCCACGCTACCTATACTTATAACCTCTGACCCCTTACGTCATCAAACACGCGTCTAGTCTTCGCATTGTCCGAGCAAAAAGGAAACCGCTGATCTAGTCTCCCCACTCCTCTCTCAAACCCAAAAATTCTAAACATTAAAAATAAAAACAATATTTGACACCTTCACTTTTACAAACAAAATATTATTTATTCTCGTTATTCTGTCACGACTGTGACAACCCTAGAAAATGGATGGTGCGAATCCATATATAAATCTCAAAGTACCCATGAACTTTTGTGAAAACTAAAGTCACAATAATAATATTATAATATATATAATATATATAATCTATATATTTAATACACAGTTGTAACACTGTTTTCTCAGTAATTACTGGACCGATCCACAAGATCTATGTGTCAAATTAAAGGGGATAATGCATAGATTTGCCGAACTTCATTAGAATTCACGTCTTTTCTAAGGGTTAAGACCTACAGCCCTTCAAAGGTTGAGTCAATACAATTCTTATTGAAGAATATAATTTACAGCTTATTTAATAACTAGGTGAAACCCGTCGAAATCGACGGTTATTTTCAAGGCTTACACTAATTTATCTAACTGCGATAAATTGAGTGAAATTATACATATTTTGAGCATTTAGCATTGTTTAAAGATTAATAAGTGTAAAAACAATAATGATATTAATTGCGTTAGTTACCAAATATGGTTGATCATTCAATGAATAAAATATTTCCCATACTGTACATCATCGGAGTTGTTAGTATGCTATCTGGTAACTCTTCCTTTGGAAGAACCTTTAAATAGTATTAAAATCGTATTGGTGGATCTTTGTACTTAAACACTTCCGTGATTTCATCAGTGTAATGCAGATTAATCTATGATTTTATTTGAAAAAGAAATCTGCTTGTTAGGAAGACACGTTCTAACTTCAAAGAGAGGTATATCCGTTACAGTGTAAGTTTAATTTTTTCTTCGTCACGGCGCGTCAGTTCGTATCGTACTTCTAAGCCAATGAATAACCCTCTAGTTCCTTGACATGGGGGATGTCAGT